TATATATATATAGAAAACATGCTAGCCGTCAAGTTTTATCTGTCCTGAGTAAACCTGTGAAACAACTGATGCAAGTGTGGATTTGTAAAAATACACAACCTCTACAGTACTATCGTTATCAACAATAGTGGGTACAATGCTGATTTTGCGTGTCATGGTCTATGTGTGTATATCGCCTATGTATAGGTTCTGATCACGGTTGATCAGACGAACGTCAATCATATGGCTGCTTGTTCCTGATTCTGCATCGGAACTGTTTAATAGTTTGCGAAGAAGTTGTAAGAAGCATGTTTGGCAAAAAGCTCCAGCTTTTCAAGTGTGCTGGACAGAATATCGGTAAGTGTTCTTAGAGCTTACGGTTTGTGCTGTTTCCGCAAGAGTCCATAAGGGCATTGCTCTCGGTATAAGCAAGATTTGCCGCAGACAAAATGATTGAATAAGGTCGTTTGTATAGTTACATCCAGTCATTGTCTAGATTTAAAAGAGAAGCTTGTCACGGTGTATAGTGCCGTTTTCCGAGGCATTTTAATCTTTATACATATTTAATGCTAACAAAAATATATCCTTCCCACTTGTGACCTCAAAATCATGGGCAATTCATGTTAGCCACAATATACCGACGGCAGAGAAAAGGGGAAACCGCTTCCACGAACGAAGTCCTCCTGGTTTATCGTATCAACTTTTTTCCCTGTAGCCACCTATCTTAGCATATGACGAAAAAGTTTGCGCGTTTCGTTTTCGTTCTCGTCCAGAAACTGCCCCTAACAGCCGGCTTCCTCGGTGACGTTCTTTTTATCGCGCACTTTTGTTTCAACAACATCGGACCCTGCTATATCTTAGAATAGGTGGTGAGTCGTAGGCTCGAGCTTCCTCCTTGTCTCGATTTCTACTCCGGCAATAATCTGTAATGGACAATTTGCGTAGAAGGCCCAGAATCAAAAGCGAATGGATGTACACACTATATTACGTTAAGGGCTAATGCAAATGGAATTCGTTAATCCGCCATCCTTTCCTTTTTAGCGTGCAGGAGCCCAGCAGCCAGCGGACAAAGACTACTATATTTTCAACTGTTTACTCAGCATAAGCCTCTGTAGTCAGCTGTGCCCTTATAGATCAGCCGGACACTTCTGGACGACATATAGCACACTTAAGCAGCATCCATCAAGCTACGGGAGCCGTCTGTTAACGTTTCATGTGTATAATAATAATAATAATAATCGCGCTTTGTTAGCGGTAAAAAACATTTTCTTGAACTTTATATGCTGCTGAGAGGCGCAATTCATATTGGAAACGTTCATTGTAAGTTACTGTACATCGTATTACTAATGCATCAATCCTATTTTAACAGGAAGTATTGTGAGAAGTAATTGTGCGAAGTCGTCTTGTCTTGATGCGCTTGTCATCATTAACTGGTCTTACGTTTTTATTGATAGCTTCCGTTTGCCAATGGGGCAATCGGATCAATGAGCTGGCTGCTGCAGACAAACATCCCTATGTGTGATAACAATGCGTTGAGACCTATGTTGGCGACGAAACGATCATCGACTCAGACGTAATGAACCGTTACAGAATCAACTTTGATTTCACAAGAGAAGTTCTAACAGTTGGCTTGGTCGTGTCGTTCTCGATGGCATTTGCGTTCGTTAAAAGATGACAGCATCTTGAAAATAGTTAAAGCGATTCTGTTTGAAAGCACTAGTAAGGAGCCTTTCACTTACGTTTTAACATGTTTGTCAATGTTGCAATGTATTGTTGCCGGAAGCTGTACAGTCAGTAAAAATTCGTGTCGTTCCGGTGCCGTGGTGACATGACGCTTTTGCGGATCCCAGTAGTACGTGTGTTCTGTGCACGTAAGCATATACGAAAACCTAGTACATTTGATGGCGTTTTGATCTGACTGATGCACAGATCTAATACCGCATGTACATAATTGGAACTTTTTCAAAGCGTCTTTTTGGCGTTCAGAAGCGCACTAGATGCCGAAGATACTAGTTGGACCCTTTTATTTGAGATTTTCTTTTTCAACTCAGTTCGTTTGCGGAGTCTGACAGGGAAACTGACATATCTGATTGAGATTATCCAGAATTTTAGGGGTCTTTAGGGGTGGTTTAGAAAGGGTTGCGAAAGTAAATTTCGCCGGCTCTAATCTCGAAACTTAATCAGGTCTAATGACAATTTAGAAAATTTAACTTCAAAAGGTGTACTTCGTGGTGTAATTTCTGCTTGGTCGTGATCATCGTAAAGACGACTCACTTGATATAGTACGCTCGTTTTTGTCCCAACTTTAAAGAGTCAGTGGGTGTGTCAGCAATTTCTTGCAAAGTATCGTATGAAAAGCAGGATGTAGGATTTAAGAAACATTACTACCCTATTTCAATCTCCCAAAGCGAGGCTTCGGGAACGGCCATCTACCGTCCACGTCAGGAGTACTTAGCAGGGTCAAGTTCACCCACGGATTAGTACCGCGCATACGGAAAAAATTAAACTTAGATAATACATGTGAAAGGCTGCAGTATTTATATAAAATCTTAATTATCCGCTTCATCCGAGAGTTCGCTCTGATAATATATCATCTCGATATTTTTTGAATAGCTTTATTGTATATACGAAAACACACATGCTTCTCTAGGTTTGTACAGGAGTTGCTAATTTATCTCATTAAAGATAGACAAAGCTATCAGCGAGGAAAATGGCGTCTTAAATCTACTTCCGTGACAGAGCGGAGCTCGTTATCGATAGTGTATCTATCATTTCTTGGTGCTTAATTGCAATCGGACGGATCATTCTTTTTCGTTTCGGGTGCGTATCTGTTCTGGCATAATACGACATCATGCAAAAAAAAAGTGCAAAGAAATAAAAATACATAGATGAAACAAAGGAAATCATAGCCAAGGTTATCTACAAATCCCTGCGTGCATGACCTGTCAGTAAGCTTCAAGCGCTAATGAAGAAAAAATTTGTGAACAGACCAAATGGAAAAGCAGATTTTAAATAATAAAAATGACTGCAAGGCTCTTGATGATCTTCTTGCGTACTGTAAAGCTATACAGAACGCGCTGTCTCAGACGTTGACTCAAGATAAGTTCCCTACGGACTTGACGCCTACGTTTTAGCCATACGTAGTTATCAACCTATCTAAGTATTTATTATGTCTAAGTAAAAAGCATTATCAATAGCAACTCACTGCATATAGAAGCGAAGTTGAAAGAAAAAAACTTAATCTTTGCAGACTCCAACGTAGCGTAAGAAATGGTCATCGTCGCAATCTTCTGATGGTTAAATTATCGCAGGAACAAAAATTGTAATAGCTCTATTAGTGAATCAGAATATGCAAAAGGAAAAAATGTATTTGTTCAGGTTGAGCAGAGATTTACAATCGATTTATGGGAAATCTGTTTGTCTGTCTTTACACACAAACGATAGCACATGAAGAGCTTTCCCATAATCAGTCACTACAGCCAGTATGAAAATCCCTGAAATTTGTCAAAATCGTGTGCATTTACATTAACCAATCGGGTGGAACGCAAGGACGACGTGCGTAATATAATCGTATGCTATATTTTCTTTCATAAATAATGACTGATGACTCAAATTAACTGAATGTATATAAATCCCTGGCTGAAAAGCATTAAAGGGCAGAGTATCGACTTGGCCGCGCACGACAGATCTCTTTGTTTGACTGTGTTCTGGACCGAATTTCTAAGGTCAACATCGCATGATCTGGGTTACGCATCTTCTTCAGTGCACTGCTGTGGCTACCACCATGGCACATTGTTACCATGCCATTTTGTGCGGAGAAAACCCAAGATAAGTCTGGAAAAACGCACCTCGGTTAGGCCTTGAAGTGGGATATTATATATATATATATTTTACTAGTCGTAAATTTCATTTTTGGTACTAGCTAGAAACCTGTCATGTAACTAGGAAGCAACAAAAGTTATATCACTATCTTGACGATTTTCATAACAATTTGAAAGGATTTTTCAGGTGTCGAATCCTGAACTTCTCCTATCCTTAGACCGAACGCGCTAAACAATTTATCGCTATGCCAATTGGCGTAACTTGGCGATTACAAACAAGTTAATGAAATATTCTGTTTAGGCGACACGATCTAGTTTCTAACTAACTTTTTCATTGTTCAATGCGTATTTCAGTATATGGGCTTCAGTGGCTGGTTTATTGTAATTGAATGCATTATAGCCGGACTCGTCTGGCAGATACCCAGCGGGGAAGCGGTAAGTAAGAAATACCAAAATGTATGCAAGCCCGCAACGGCTGAATAAATTAATCTGATAAAATTACATTTTGCGTATATATATATATATATATATAATGCCTGAAATGTTCTGTTGTTGCGAAAGAAATGACTAATTGGGATGAACGAACGCTTTTATTAGTTAACAAATAGTTGACCTGGGCTAATAAAATAGCTGGGAACGTAATTAACAGGTTACTATTTCGAATCGTGCTTATAGTAATTATTAAACAATTTCGAAGGTCAGCTACGTCCCCATTCGAGAATACCGAACTTTGATGCATTTATGAAAAAATCAGTAGAAAGCAATGGACGCCGCTCGTCCTTTTCGAGCGGTCAGCATTGTTCAGCTTATTGATTTTAGTATAACATGACCAGAAAATACGTAATACATTTGTGTCTTTTTTTTCTTCTAGCAAAGTACTGTCGGATCCCTACCCCTCTAGAAAGGCAGGCTTACAGCTGCTCCACATTAAAACTAGCCGCTTATTCCATTAAACGTTTGTTTAGACATTCAAGTATCGTATCTACAGGCCAAATCATTCACTTTTTTCTTGTTTCGCTAACATGAATTCGAATTTCAAGCAATTAGCAATTATATGCGGCTATAACAACGGATCAATGGAGGACTTGGCGCAATTGTCGTAGCCACTATTGTTAACGTTATGTCGCCATTGCGTCCAATAGCTCACTGACTAGCCCAATGTTCTAGAGTGTCCATTACTTCAAAGCTACCACTGTAGCAACAATCACACATGATGACCTTTCACTTAGTAACAGCTAACATAATTACGCGCTGGCGACATTTTACATGCTCAGGGTCATGCCCAGTTGAAATACGTGCCACTGCATCTGAGTGAGCATATATCACATCGCATGTACAGGACACCGTGAAGGGTTGCCCTGTCTAGGCGGACCGGTGCATGCATTTCGTTCATAGGACTAGAGTAGAATTCAACTATTATTCTTATCGTCGAATTACTATTCAATAATTCATCTTATTTAACCAATTTATGTACGAACTAGACGGGTCTATAATATCGATCGTTGTCGAGCTTTTATGGCAATTTTGCTTGTCAATGATTGTCAGCAATGGTGAAGCTGTAGTAACGAAGGTTTGTATATTAGCTTAGTAACGGCGAACCTCAGTTTTGTTATAATTTTTGGAAGATAGCTCATAAAAGTATATATACAGTTAATGAAAAAAATAACCCGATTTTCTTTTCTATTTTTTTTTTTTAGTAGTTATCGATAATTCGAAAGGCATGTGTTTGCTCATTGTAGATTCCTGTACTATCCTGTCTCGGAAAGTTTTCCAATACGATAAAATGAATCATAACGATTTGTTAGAAACGATCAAGGATTTCTATGTACACGTCTTCCTCTACTGCGGTCGAAATTCAAGAGTTAAACCCATGCCGATAGCATCGCCGTGGTCTATTTCTATGTTCAAGCTTCTCTTGTATGTGTTAGGGTGACTTTCAATACACACAATCACACATGTTGCATATCAGTAAGAGTATTTTCATTTACGTTAGCGTTAGACAACAACAGGCCATGCTGATTGCTCGCCTCGTGAACCCAGAGGCCCCTGCTCGAAACGGGTACAGACGTAATTGCTTTCGTATTGAAGAGACCTAACTGCCTAAAACAATGCTTAACTGAGACAATAGCAAGTATACGAGTCAAAACTTTTGCAAATACGCTTTATTTCTAGCTCTTTAATCCATTGATTCGGAAGCCCTTCGAGGCAAATTAATAAGCGACATCACTGCTTTCTTTTGCCAACGTACGCCCCACACTTTTTGTTGTCAATAATGTATGCCACTAAAAAAAAATTGTTGTAAAATTGTTGCCTCAGGCAGCGATTTTATTTCCGTTCCGTCGGGCAGTTTTTCGTATTTTTGTGGATAACGAAATCGTCATTAATCGACGCGTCCGACATAAGCGGTGCAGTAAACACCCTGGCAAACGATTCATAAGTTGGCTCAACCACATCCTTAGGATTTTGCACGGATGACGAGGTAACGAAAGGCTGGTAGGTGCCGGCAAGCACGTCAGTGCGATTGCATGGACGCGTATCTGTATGAATGACCTAACATATAACCCCGAAATTGTCGACTGGTAGAGAAACGCGTCGTAACTACTTAACTAGGCAAGGGGAGTGCAACCCGTGTCAAAGGCGAGTGACCAAGAGAGACGGTCATGGACAAACGCTTTATGTCCATTGCTAAGTGGATTGCTTGCGTCCTTTCGAACGGTCCTTTGTTTTACTCATGGGGTTCGATCATATTAGTTCATGTCGCTGCTGAATAAATGAGGTCTGGATGGAGAAGCCCCTTGGATATATATATATATATATATATATATATATGTATTAATAGCACCGTATTTACGAAGGCGATACGTAGCATATGTGGTGAAATAGACAGGGGCGTTGCGGTTTCGTACTTTCATAAGAAATATAATAAAATATACAAGGAAATTCTTAGATGAATAACATTAACAAAATCATCGATGAAGTCGCTTTTAACACGGGGTGTTTGAATATGTCTTTGTTACCCCGTCAAAATTTTGTATTTGATATTTTGGGTGTCTTTCTTATTAGCCAGACACCGTAATGAAAATAACACGAAAATAACACGAAATAACACGAAAAAATGGTATCTGACATAAAACTTCAACCATGTAAACGTGCGCTCACATAAATATAAGAACGTACTATTCGTTCAGATTGCGAGTGTTTGTTATTTTCTTACGCTTGTGCAGTTACAGATACTTTAACCGAAGTTTCCTTCCTGGCGTTCATATCCAATGAATAAACACAACCGAAAGCAGAAACACACACAGAATAGGTGATTCCATCCATTGAGGGATAATGTAAACTGACCAAAGCGTGCGACGCTGATTTAAATACTGTAACCCCATTGTCGTGCAGATGGGGTTGTTTGCGAAACGGGTTTCCGAAAGTCGCTTCACGCCTGTCTGTTGCTGCAGTCCGGTCTGACTTATCTGACCTTTAGTCAAACTTGGGAGCTCCTCCAGCTCCTAACCGGAACGTCAGCATATTACCAGATCAAGCCCACTACGAAAATCATCATTGCGTCCCGAGCTGCGCGGTAACGCTGGTGAAGCAAACACGTAAATACGAAAAAAAAAAAAAAAAAAAAGCCGCAGAAACAATCTGGCAGAAACGAAGCTTGACTTTAACTTGACGAAATTAATTTCGGACTAATTAGTTGATATACCATGACATGCAGCATAGAACTGCCAGACCATCTGGACCCTTCGAGCAGGAAACGGATTTCCGATTCTCTCATGATTCTCGAACGGTGCCGTATTGGAAATCTGTATAAACATGCAATCATCAGCTATGTAACGTAGCAGATTATGAGAAGGGTTATATTGTAAAGCATATCTTGCTACAACTTGTCGCTTAGTGTTTAATACATTTGATATATATACATATATATATATATATATATGTGAGACAAGAGGTAACTATGTAAATCTAGAAAGAAAATTGGTTTCCAGCTGATGTGAATTCTACTTTTCATTACGATTCTAAATTTAACATTTTTCATATTACGTTTACCTAAACATATACCATTCTAAGTTTACTTTTCCCTCACTCTGTATACAAAGTTTTTTCTAAAAGTCTTTGCCTGTTTTCCTTTGGTTGCAACTGTTCGATCAGTCCAATTTTTCAATTAAATAAAATTAGTGTTTTGAGTATAAATTTGAATTTATTTATAGCAAAGAGAGGCACCATAATTAAATCTTACAGAAATTATCTAGGCAAAACGTAAATGAGCGCCTGAAGAAGACATGAACCGGCCAATAAATTGTTTGAGTGTGTGAAGGATATGAAGCGATTAAAACAAGTTTTTTCCTTGAAGCAGGATTATATTGAAACGATTTGACAGGTTTTCATAGTCGCTTTCTAACTTGCAAAGCGGCCATGTGCTATGCGAATAAACTTAGGAAAAGTTTGAGGTGTTGAAAACGAACTAAACAACCGAAGTGGCATGGAATTGTTCCCCGATGCACCCCGATACCTACCTATCAGGACATACCCAACATAAAAATAGGGAAATTAACACATGCTTTTTAAGCGGGTTTAAGTGCCAATAACCGGCTCATATAACGTTCTTATTCACCATAGTCTGCGGCTCGTCGTAGAAAAAAAGAATAAAACCATGTGTTTTTTTATTTTATACAGTTATTGCCTGCCATGTGTTATCCGTGCATGCAGTCAAGACTATTGTAGCGGAAAGCGTATCCCTGGTAGTACTTCATTTTCCCAAATGCATCCCCTCAGGTCGACATCATTATAGTTGGGCGCACAGTCAACTGGGATGAAAAAGTCAAGTGACAAATGTTTATATGCCTGCCGCGGCTGTCTAATTCCAATCTGTTAAGTTAACTAAACGAAATAATAATGTTACAATTGGTGCGTCGCGGCCCCAGCTTGCACGAGCTACCTGGCCAAAAAAAATAATAACGTTCTTTCTATTTCTGGAAGATTCCAATACGTTGGCATTTAGAGCTATTCATTTTTCAGTATAGCTACGAGTTTTGGTTGATTCAAATCGTTCAATATGTATGTCAGTCATTTAAAAATATTTTCCCTTTACTGGATGTATCTTCATGCTGAAAGACCTCGAAAACCTTATGACATATGTGGTCATATTTCCCATCAAGCCAAGCATGATTACATAAGATTACATTGAAATTACATAAAAAACGTTACACCCGGAAAAATTAACTTTCAGCTTTGCAATTACAAAAATCTCTCTCGACGATTTAAATGCACCCGACACAATGGCTAATATTTCAAGAGGTTTTGAGGAACTCTATCGACACATTGGTCGCCTTCTTTTCGCTTACGATTTGGAAGTTATCGGTGAACCCACGAACCTGCCTAATTTTCATTCACAATTAATAGTAATTATCATTCATTTATCTTGCATTCTCGTAATATAAAATCGGGTTGACGTGCTTGATTTTAAGCTACTGATTACTATTATTGTTTTTAGATTCGAGACGACATGGAGCAAGAAATTAAAAAGCGACTTTTGAGCATACATGAGAACCCGGATGCTCGTCGTTTCATGGACCTTCTACAGATCCACGTAATCCACGTCCTGAATTTTCATTAATTAATAAAGATATTATCAAATACTAATAAAATTTATGAAACTAACTAACATATATATATATGAGTGTGTGTGTGTGTGTGTGTGTATATTGTTAATTTCTTATCTAATGAATTAAACAAGTAAGCTTTTCTACTAAGTAAGACAATACATACTAACGTAATTTCGGTTTGTAATATTCTATCGAGAAGGGTTCGTAGCATAGCTTCCACTAAAACATAAGAAAATGCTTAAATTAGATAGCGTATAATGATTTTCCGTCCCTGTACGACTTCCTTCATCGGTTTACGGCGTTATTGGTGTCTTGACATTTCAGGTGGAGTGTTGCGGCGCCGTATCGAAGAATGACTATACAGACAATTCGCTTACGATTCCGCAGTCGTGTTCGAACTATCGAACTAACAACGTCCACATTTACGTATGTAACGCCTCGTCACAACTCGAAACATATTCTGTCAACTTACTTGAAATAGCTATGGCAAAATGATAAAAGTTTTTACGCCGTTACTAGTTAGTTCGATTCATAAATTAAGTATTAATTATGCGGGCGGGTGATCCATTCGAGTTTCGGGCTTGACACCCTCGCCCATCATAAGTCGTGCTAACATTTTGCTGTTTAGAAGATTTACGAATCGGAAGAATCGAAAGAAGTATTATTAGAATCGATCTTAAGCCAAGCTCAAGAATACCGAGTGCAAAGTGGGCTTAATGGGCGAGGACCCTACAGCATCAAACGGATATTCTATTAGTAAGGCCCAGTCTGCATAGTGGATAATGACGTAAAGCCTGCAAGTTATAGTCTCGATTAATTGTGCATGGCTCAGTGAAAAACTTCACGTGAGCTTTTGGCCGTACGAAAGGCTGTGTGAATAGCCCTGTTTTTACGAAACAATTAGAAAAACACTGGAAATTATGTTCAGTACAGATTAACATTGACTAATATATTTTCTACACGCATACGAAAATGACTTATGTTTTCCGCGTATGGCTCTTCCTTACTACAGGGTTGTGGTGAGAACCTGCGAGTGACCTTGCAGCGAACAGGCGCCTCCCTTGGAGGCGTTTCAATGGCACTTGTATTTGTACAGGTAAGAATGAAATGCTTATTGTGATTTGTACTTAGTGATTAGGGATCTACTGAAGCTGTTTAGCACATTTCGGTAGGTCGTACAGCTGTCGTACTTTTTTAGGTTAGCGGCCTTACAGTACTACCGGGCACGCATAGAATACCAATAATTGACTCCCTTTAATGGTAATTTTTAATCCAAAGTATAGATTTACTAGTTTTATAAACTTACTATGACCTTCTATAAAAGTCGGCTTTATAATCGTCATAGCCGACAGGTCGTACTTTGTGTTGTAAACCACTAAATAAAAGTATATGACTTATTACTTTAAGTAAGATGTTTCGTAATCAGTATACTTTCTGGATATGTACAAACAATGAACGAGCAAATACGCAGTTCAATGTAAATGTTTTTTAATTCACTAAACTGTATATTCGTTCGATTTCAGCTGATATCGCTCTCCGTAAACTTCCTGCTTCTTGTCAACCTCCAGGAAGAATACGGTCCAAAAATCTATTGAAATGAAGATGTACGCACAAATTGTCATGCACCACTTGGCTATTTATCGTTTCGATCGACAGATTCTATTCTACCAACTAAGTACATCGCTGGGCCATTAAGCACCCAAACTGATCGCAAATCTGATAACACCGGACTAACAGCACAATTTTAAGCCCTCTATCCTAATACAATAACTTGATAGTAAATCATCCAGCTTTGTAGATTAACGATGCGTTAAAGCTATAATGACATTTACACGAACATGTCGCCAAAATTCATCAAGCCACGATCGATCAACATACATACAACAGCCTGGTTCTTCAACAGTCTGTCGCCTAGAGCACTTTCATTTATTCTTCAGCCTCATATCTTCCTATACGCACGTATATTAATGACGGTATTCACATAATTTCTGTTGGCTTCTATGGACTATTTTCGCATAAATTCTGCACATTCTACAGAAGAGCTGATTGAGTCATTATTGCTATCCGTATCATACATGTAAATATGCCATAGATTTCATTTTCCGTTTATTCAATAACAGCGACAACTATATATATATATATATATATGTGAACTTATATTTGTACCGAAGAAAACAGTGACACACGTCACCACATTGCAAGGCAGGCAAGCATATATGGTATACATGAAGAACAGTAAAAATATTGTTCGGAAAAGTGTTCTAAGAATTATAAAGCTAAAAAACCCCAAATAACTAATGATATATGATGTTTTTGTATGACGGGGCAGTTAAACCCATACGTAATTAGATCCGCAGAACTCTGGTGAAAATGGGCTAAAAGAACAAAATGTCTAAAGTCTTAGATACGGACCAGAGACTCAACAATACAAAAGGACATTTTGTTGGTCTGAGACCTGGTTATTATTCAAGAATGATCTATAACAAAAGGCAGTGAAGTCGTAAAAAATAAATATAAACCAAGTCAGAAAACGTTGTCACTTGTGCTTCACTAACTTAATTACACCGAACAGCGTCACTGAAATCTTCTCGAAAACTCCATATTAAATTTTTTGCTGATATAAGACCTAATTTCAACGTCTAAACTATCAGGTTGGAAAGCCATTTTCTTTAGTCTACTTGAACGTATCATGTTGCTTGGACTTTTTGTTGTCGAGGCACAGAGAGAACGGTTTATGGGTCGCTGATTCATGGGCATCAATATCCATCATAAAATATTGACGCTTCACGCCTGGATAACGAGTTTATCTCAGTATGTTTCAGGTAAACAGTTGCGCTGTGCGATACTGAACAGCGGGTAGACTGTGTTCGCTTGAAGGCTAACTTACGTCTATTCTGCTTGAGGGCAACAGATTTTCCCGATATTTTCTAAAGACGCAGCCTTTTACCAGAACTCAAAAAAAGCAAATTATGAATACTGCACTTATCAGCAGCGTGACTACAGTGGACTAAAAACACTAAATAACTAGATAAATTTTTACTAATCTATGAACGATGGTCATAGGAAACATTCTAGGAAAAATCACTAAATTATACATACAATACATAAATAATGTATTCTTAGGCAAATCTATGGAAAATAGCGTTTTTTTTTTGCGGAGAGTCAGTAATCTTAAAAATTTTAACTTCGATCCTCTTTAATGAGCCATATATGCTTGAAACATGTTACTTGATATTTGTTATTATCGTTTTATATGGTGTAATTATTAGAAGAAAAGCTAATTTTTTTAAACAAAAAAATTGTGATACATGATCCGCGCAAACGAATATTACATCTGAACCGGTGGTAAATGGCTTTCCAGTGTAGAAGGAACTAAGTTTACGGTATCAACAATAACAGATAATATACGGTTTTTTTTTAATCGATACAGTACATTGATCTATATCAGTCATATTTTATAATTAGTTGCTACATAATTGTCAATCAATCAGTTAATTATGTAGCATCAAAGTATTATCTAAGCCGTTCTCACTTTGATGTCAGGTATCTGTCCAGCATACGATTCCAGGTACCCCACACTCGGTTCCTTCTCTACATGAACACCATTGAAACACGTGAAGACAAAGAGCTTCATCATAGATGATTTTTGAGATTAATTTGAGGTACAATTTGACTCGAGGAGAACAACATTTTTTTTTGGATCCTGCCCATTAAGAAATCCATTATACAACATTAAAGAAGTCGTGTCGGCAATCCTCGTCCATTAATCCTTCAAATTTTGCTTCGAATGTTTTTTTTTTCGCTCGGCTCATTGGAAAACCACGAGATGTTTCAACGTTGGAAAAACCAAATTGGAAACCAAATTGGTTGGAAAAGCCTGCATAACACGATCACTATGGTTTGTCCAGTAGCGACGTGACAGATTACGGACATTTGTCATTAGCTTAAGTAAGGCAAGTTTAATTTGAGTGTTTACACTATATTTCCAATAACAAACACAACAGTTGCGACGTCAAAGTGTTCCATAGTAAAAAAAACCACCGTTTATTGTCCTCGGCGGCCGTTCATCCCGCGCTACCAATCCGGCTCTGTGCGGCCTAAAAATCGTCTTAAGAAGAAAAACTAACTTACACAATTTCTGCAGGCCATGCGTGCTTCGTGTATTCTCAACAAACGTTAGAACGGAACGTTGACGCATCGGCATATAGATTCGTTGGGATGTTCGGTGCAGACAGTCACGCTGCGACTTAACAGACCGTTACGGTAGCCATGATGTCATTGCGATGGGAGGAGTAATTCGGCCAGGACGTCCGCTTCACGCAAGGGACGTCGACTTCGATGGGCGCCACTGTGTGGTTTTATGCGTGGCGCACTATGGAAAGGGCAAACTTTATCGAGAACTAGACGATTTACTTTAGTTAAGCTCTAATAAAGGGGAAACAAAGCAGCGAATATAAAACCGACAGGATCGTCAGCATGAACAGTCAGAAGCATCGAAAACAACAAGGGAACTCTTCAAAGTGAAACTGTGACCAGCCATCAATAAATGGTGCTTTTTAAATAATAATTACAATTGCTTGCTTTGCGCCCATTGCTTGTGACCATTGCCTCCAGGTTTTTCAAGCAGTTGTAGCGTGGATGAACTTTTGGTATTGGTTATGATATGTTGAAAATCAAAATATAGGATGATCACTTCTACGACAGCGCTTCTCTCGCTTACCTCCTTCTGAGCAACGGTCCTGCGAACGTTTCGACCCGTTGAATTTTGAATAGTGCGCGCAAAATGACATCAACAACGACACCTCACGTGGGCAAAACAAGTCACGTTTAACATTTACACCACCGGCCTGCAGTGATTAGTGCTTGAACCTTGCCACCTGGCTTGAGATGTCAAACCAGTCAGACCTTTCACTTTTCTTCGCTAACGATGATTATGCCTGATTGATACTGAACTATCTTGTTGCGATAGTGCTTCGAATTTGATTGTTTCGGTACCGTCATCGGGTGTCCCTTCAGACGACTCGCCCTGATCAGAAGGTAAAGTGTGCCTACGACAGAATACGAACTCGGACCTCCTTCCTGCACCCCAACAGGTTCAACAGGCTACCGTTCTACCAATACAATTCACCTCCCCATGACGCGTCGAAGATTGGCAATTGTTTGTAAGAAATAATTTTCCCAATTAGGATGTATTATTTTGCAATTGGCAATAAGCCGGATGCTGGCTTCGAACAAAACTCGGACTAAGAAAGATACTTGTTGGAGCTTGTGATCACTTATAGGGGTCCGAAAAGGTTTTAGTACATCTTGAACGTACATCTTTCCAACAAACAAATTTCAAAGTCTTCGTCAGGTACTAAAAAGTAAGTAAAAAAGAACCAGGCATAAAGATTTCCTATTGACTTTCCTATTGAAAGATCATTTTGACTGACGTTAATCTTTATACTGAGCAAACGACAATACTAGGGAAAGTTTCCGTTAAGCGCTTGGTCGTGTGAGGTAGTATACCGAGAACAAGTATGAACGGTTTAGCGGTGAAAAAGCAATGAATAGTACAAGAGACATATCTATTTTCGAAAACGTGTCATTACCACCTAATTACGGATATAGGCCACGGCGACCCAATTCGTCTTATACTGAAGGCGACAAGCCCTTTGCGTCAATGCTTGACAATGGCAACAGGTATATTATTACTTTACATTATACTATTTTAGTTCAAATATAGTTTCAATATCAAACCGCAAATCAATTATTTCGCAGATCACCGCATTCGATGAAATTACTGAACATCAGCTGCCCATCAAGCCCACACCTTGCAGGCTCAAGATAGTCAACTATTTTGTGACCAGAGCTTTAGTACATCACAAGCATATATCAATACGGTTTTCACTTCAAGGCGAAAGTTTAGCAGAACGGTCGTTTGATCAATAACCTCTATGTTTGTAGTTTTTGTAGGCGCTCCATGAGACAGACGGCTGGCTCCCGGTTCTTGAGGACAGATGTCTGTATTGCAATATTCACTACTTTTCACCGCCAATACCATAGACCTCTAACCTAGACCACAACGTGTCCCTAAAAGTAGCAGACAAATACGTGACCTATTAAGCTATCACTGTGCTATTACAATATCCTACGAGTGACCTATTAACCTGGCCCGTTCCTCAAGCTTGTTAGGCTTAGCGCAATTAGCAGCTTCAAAGAAAACCAATTATTTTAGCGACGATTTCAACATTGTGGTTATATTTCTTAACTAATATATAAAAGCGTGTGTTCGTAAAACAGTAATTTCTGCTTACATCAGTACTGTTACAACAACAAGGAACTTCGCTACATTTATCATCGTTTATATTTACAGGTACGTGCTTAGGGGCGGTGTCGCCAAACGTTTGTCCTTGGCCATTGATCCGTAGCTAGATCCGCTAAAATCCGACTATTTTTCTGTAGTAATTCTATAACAACATGCCTATGAGCCAAAACGTGTGTTGGCAATTATTTTAGCTAAGCTACTACAAATTTTAGATATCAAATCTGCAGTGAGACTTGAAATCAAATGTATAATCTAGAAAAGCTGAGAAATTTTCGAATTAGAGAAAAGCAGGCAAAGTACGATTTCAAATCCTGCGGTATCTGGTTATTCGAAACTTACTTTAGCAGATAGGTCGAGCAGGGATAAAAATGGCAAAGATAATTTTTGCCATCGCTTATTGTTTCTGATTTGTAATGGTTTGTTAAGTTTCGTTGGTATGGCTGCCGAATCGATGGCAGAAGAATACAACATAATGATATTTATTGTTTAGTTACTGGGTCTAAGTTAGTGTAATTGAGCTGGTCAACTTATGAATGGACAAAGTTTATAGGACAGATAAGTCGAGTTCAAGTTTGTAGGAGAATTTTTGTGGTTTATATTTTACTGATCATACTACTTTTGCAAGTAACACTATTTTCCCCAAGGTTTTTTACGATTTAAAGGAAAATGTAATCGCTGACTGATGTTAACATAATAATAGTAACATTAGATATGACTGGCAGCTAGAAATTGATTCGATTCTAGGATACTTCAGAGAAATAAGGACCGAATTACGCTAGACCTCTACATACACTTCACAGAAACAAAAATTACTTATCAATTGAAGCCCTTTAATCTATCCTGTCAAAGAACTACTCTGAAGTTACTAGAAAACACTATCTTCTATCTAGCAACCGTCCTTGTCGGTAATATCAACGACGTACAAATCGATCAAATTGTCTTTCGTGCATTTCGCTGGCCGTCTTACCAAATAGCGACAGTTCCAGCTTCGGAATCGCAAACAACCCGCTGTCCCATATATTAACACCACGATAAATGAACATTTCTAAGGTCTTAATAAATCCGCTTTTATCATTCTGTGTCTGTGCACGTTCCTGTACTATATTCGATACAAGCGCCTAAAAACGTCTAATAGCACTTCATCAGCGCAAAAGTTTAAACAAAGCCATAGCAGCGTGTACAGGAGGTGTTAAGCAACAAGCAGTAACCAGTAGGTCAATCAGTTATCCCATTGCCACCTCATTTGGGGCAAATAGAAACGCCTATTGAAGTAGCTGCTTCGCATCAAATAAGTATTTTCTATTTGTCTTTACTTGCTTCGACGGCATCGGCAAACTCATCTATATACAAGTATACGGTACATATATCTTCTACAATTGCAAACACATTTGCCGTTAGAAGCGTTTTACATTGGAACGAAAAGGCCTTAGCTCTATGAAGACTCTACGACCGCTAGTGGAATCGGGCTCAGTAAGCGTACTTTTACCGCGCTGGCTAATGCAACCATTCGCGCCACGCTGTGCGCACAAGGCGTCTCAAAATGTACGTCATGCGGCAAGCAGTTACCGTGGAGCTGAAGTCCGACATGAAGGTCGATCCTTTTGTTTGTTCCGCAAAAAATCGACCGGTAGTTTAGAACTGTTTGGGATGACTAGTCACTGCAATCCTCTTACTTGTGACACCTCCGAATCCTGATCCACCTTTAATAAACATTGCCATCAAATGTTCGAGCTATTGAAAGATTTGCTAACGAACCGCCCAGCCGTTAGTTTTTCAGCAGCCCGCTGGATCTAGACTTGGTCCTTGGCTGTTTTGGCGTATATTGTCAAAGCTGCTTTGTCGACCTTGCAATTTCTTACTGTTTGTCTTCTATTATAGACGTCGACGTTGATGTCTGAGTCGGCCCCTGTTGCCGTCGTTGATAGGATCGCCAACTGTCGCTGTGCGAATAGTGGAAATCTGTATAAAATGATGGAGACAGATAAGTTAGAATCAGTATCGTTCTTCATTATGAAAGAGCATAAAACGCCAGTGATGAAAATACACCTATAAGTGACCTGTTCTTGCCTACAGCAATCTATTGACGGTTTGGCGACTACTTCGTCTGACTTCGTAATGATGGCAGCAGATAGATTTCCAGAGAGCCATTTTCAGTAAGCGACTTGTGCTCCAAAAAAAGTCGCAGCACTGCATCCATATCTAGCGGATTTAAATAAGTTGACAGGTGAAGACGGATATAAGTAATAGGCTATCTACGGGTCACAGAGCAGGGTGCAAGGAAAACAGAAAGTGGCAGTTATTAGTTACAGATTAAGGTATGGGCGGAAAAATCGTGCAAACGTTTGTAACGACATTATCAGTTTTGTTTTTGAACCATTGTTGAATATGTAAGGAGTTAACCGATTTTTCTTCGGCCTATAAAAGAGAGAAGATTAAATCTTGGCTGTATCTATTAAGCAGAGTTTACACTCACGTCATTTTGGGGGGTTCGCTCAGGATTATCTAATACGGCATTAGCTAAGTAAGTTACGACCCCCTCATCGGTTGCCTATTATTCAATGGCTGCGCCCAGATGTAAGTCATTACAAACAAGCTCATATTATTTCTGTTATCGTTACTAATGTCATCGCTATGCGTTAGTAAAAACGGTCTAATGCTATTGTCGTATAATCTACGCGGTTCAACCAAGTAAGTATCATTTATCTATTCTATAGTTAAATTGATGAAGGCAAAATTTGCAAGCTATACTACTACTAGCTAGTATAAATGATTCATGACCATTGTCAAATAAGTGGATCTTCTTCCGCCAATAGAAACGCTTGCTAATGTCAGCTGAGCCCTTCGTGGCTGTGTCCGGCACCAAAGTGCCATATCATGCTACACCCGAATCCTGAAAATTGCCCAAATAAAAACTTCTAGTTAGTTAGTTCTTCAGAGTGAAATGCTGTCTGCATATTAAGTTCGATTAATACGGGTACCGAGGCGGTTAAGATGTTATCTTGTACAACGCAACAGCACGTGTACGTTGGCTTACCAAATTAGCAAGTAACACTGTATTCAACTAGTGAATAGTAACTTTAACTTGTAACCTTGTAAGATTCAAGAAAACTGAATGAGAAATACATGCAGTTGGTATAATAGTACGTCGTAAGGCGTCTGCCTTGTTCTATGGCGTGAAATCCTCTTGAGATACCTTCCAGTTAAAAAATCTATTAGAAGAAATTACCATCTCTGTGAATTCCTCATCGGCTTGAGGAATTGTTCGGTTTGTCCTCCTGCATAATAATATATTATCCACTATCTGATATTAATGCCAACACAATTTTAGATTGTTCATATGGCTGCGTTTTGAAGCCATATTTTTCCCGCCTCCCGTAGTTCCCAAAAAAACACAGCTTATTTTAGTTGGAAGCGTAATACGCACGAAGAAATGAATCGAACAGATCAACGGCAAACTCGATGTGATCCTATAATTACTTCCACGGCGTTATCGTCATAATACCCTCTAGGTTTCAAGTTTTATATCCGCAATATCCGTTAGACGACTGGGTGGGTCTCAGCAGAAAACGACATCAAGTCTAGAGCACAAAGGATTAGCAGACGAATACCTCTGCAGTGGTAACTATGGCACCAAACTGGCTCGTAACTTAGTTTGCTTTACCAAACTAATTATCCAGTTTTGGTAGTTGGGCCCAATTGTGTCTCTAACTGATATCGAAATTCATAAATATTCACAAACACAAACACTGCAATAGAATACACTGAATCGCTAGCTCGGGTTGCTCGTTCCTCAGTGTCAGGCCATCTTAGGGTAGGTTTGCGTTTATTGAAATTTTTATACTACGGAATTTGAGTAGGAACTGGTCCTGGCATCGGCTTGACATGTGCTAACCTCTGTGTATCGTTTCGTTCGGGACTCTAGACTGGTCAAAGATGTATCCACATGTTTCCAACTTATTAACGACTTAACACCTATTCCTGCTAATAGCCACGTGATGTTGGCCAAAATAGGATTTATCACCAACTCATATCCAAACCAAATAAACTCCTGCATTCCTTTATTATGCGGCCATACACCATTAGTTCGTGGCCTATTAAAGGACATAATTGCGATGGTATTGTTGTAGAAATAAAAATTAAATTTAGGCCAACCTAGAGTTTGAGATATGAGAGTGAGTTGTACTTGAATAGGGTTAGTTTTTCTCCCTATAAGAGATCCGTTCTTTGTCAAAAGTGGTGCAAATTTGTCAAGACAGTTAGTAAGCATTTCCTTTTCTCTCGAATCAGTGAAGTAGTTGCTTCAAAAGCAGCATCACTTATACGAGTCTGAAATAGACAGTAGGTGGCTAAATACCGACCAATTGCACGGGTCTACAAACACGCAATGCATTCATTGTGTAATGTACTTATTTTGTTACAGAGAAAGGAGCCAATGATAATAAACGGTTACTAAAATGGCTCAGTCGATCAGCGACCTTCAGGAAGGTCGCAAAGTCGTTGGGGACTGTGGAAGCGATTTCTCTCCTCCGAAGTGGCTCGAAATGCCGAAATACAAACGTGGTCAGGAACTATTGAAAGAAAACATCTTCGCGTGAGTATGACCCAAGAACAATAACAGACGTGTACAGGACTAGGTTTGTTTTTTTCTTCTCTGGAAGTCGCTAGTTGCAGAACTGCTTTGCGCACCCCTTGCAGTTAGATAGTCTGACAGTTTATCTGTCTGCAGCCTGAAGCACAGCTCCCTATAGGATCGTGTAGGTTACTCGGAGAAAACGCTTTTTCTATGGCCGACTGTTGGGTAGTGAGTTTCTGTGTGTGTTCCGTTAGTGGAGCATGAATTAAGCTTATAGCTGATGAAAGTTTAGAGTTTAGCTAGCTGTAGCTACTTCAATTAATATAATGTATAAATAGGTAGTCCTATGCACTGCTAATCTTTAGCTTGCACAGCCTTCATTGAAAAGAGTATTAGTTGGCCCTTTTATATAAAATATTCGATATCAAATTAATCGTTACGACATAAGAACAATTGTTTGCGTCTTTCGGTACACCTAAGACATATATAGTGTATCCGCATTTTCAGTATCACATTTATATATACGTATAAATATATCTATGGGGGAGATCAGGCGTTCTATAGCAAAAATCGAATTGAGTGCGTGTACCATTATATACGTTATAATGGCGGAAAACCTGTCGAGGTACGTCAACACATGGATTGATTCGATAACTTCAAGGTAGACACCAACGAGCTATGCATATAAAAAAAAAATACAAAGGAACCTTGAAGCAAAAGGTGTCGCTGGCTATAGCTGATACGACTACGAACGATCCGTAAGATATGATCCAAAGCGATCACTATCAACTTAATCAATTTAAGCATTGAAGTTCACTCGTTTACTTGCATATAAGTAACTGTAGATCTGCTTCTCCCTAAAGCGCAAGCTTACCTTTTCTAAATCTTTGACCCAATTTTATTTTTCTACCTTTGTCGCCAAATTTTCTGCCTACTGATGTCCTTCTGCTGCTTTCGGCCTGCTAAGCAGTGAGTGCCTCAAATGTATTATTGTGAGGTGTCGTACAAATATATATTACATTTTTGTATTTTGGTTAATGTTAACGTTTTCTTAGTGGCACTCTAGGCGACAGCTACGGCCAATAAATGGTAACGCTGATGCTGTTTGGCTAGAGAGTAACGATAGGTACTCCGGTTTGTTTTCAGCACGTTATTCTGTCATGTGGGTGGCCTCATAATGCTGGTCAATGTTCCTTCAATCTACAAACTGCTTGATAACACCGGCAATTCGAGGTCTCTAGTTTCTTGCTTTCAAAGGTATCTCAAAACCCTAACCCATGTGAAGAGCTGGTACGAGACAGACATCTTTGACGCCTCATCCGAAGGTAAATGAGACGCCTTCGTCTACTGCTTTAAGCCCTTAGTCGATGGGAACTCTCAAAATACGCTCTGAACCCTTTTTACATTTAGAACTGCGTTGTGTACATGGCTTTTCGAAATTTCCAAGTCAAGTTAGTTAGTATTTGTTTTTATTTCGCTGAAAACATAGTATAAAAAAATGAAAAATTGTTCTTGATTAACATCGAGATAGCCTTCATTAGCCCACACCTAGTCATGCCGAAAGTATAATAGAATCCTAATTAGTGTGTAATAAAGTATAGACAAATCAGGTAACGCATTATCTGTTTAACATCCCGCTGTAACGCCTCCAGAGATGGCTGCCGCTCTCGACCGTGCAAGGAACTTTGCCTTGTACATTACACCTCCTTTTAATTTATTACCATGTTTATAAGAGGTATACAGAATGAAGGAATAGCCTAAAAAAAAAAGTTTTTTTCACTTTATATACAGTTATACAGCAACACAGGATCATATTTTTTGTATTGTAATTTTTTAAACCGTTGATAGATTTCTGCCTCATCCGATACAGTAGGCCTTGCCGTTAAAATTTGATCACATATTTTCAAGAATAGATCCATCGCGCTTCGTCTGATTGTCCTAGGGTTTCAGAGTATTAAATACGTACGGGGCCTGCACCGAAAGGTAGCTGCAGCCATGGCACAACAACGGCCTCTTTTAGCTAGTCAGGACGTTTGTGAGACCGGTGGTGGGAAAATGAACAATCGATCAAACCTGGAGGCAGACCCAGAAGTGTGGATCTCACAGTGGGATATGGCAATGACCCAGTTTGCTTTCCTAGGCATGATGATTCTGCATCCAAATGTACTTGGTTTCTCACATCTGTCGCGTCAGGATAAAGAAGCGGTAGCGCACTGTTGGCGTTGTATTGGTAAGTCAGTACCCATATGAGTGACATAATATTTTCGGCTCGTAGAGGTTCGTTAGATTAGGTTAATTCAAGTGTACTTTTTTGCGTAGAAGCTATCTTGAATGATGGGTCTCTTAAAGCTGCTTGTTTCGTTGACCTACAGGGTACCAGCTGGGCATCGATGATAAATACAACTTATTCGGTTCGGATAACCTTCACACCATTGAGAAACTCTGCCAAAACATCGAAGCGGAGGTGTTCCGACCAAACTTAACAGCCAATTATTTAGGTGGTCTCCGTATGGGTAAGACCATTCTGGAGTCTATTCGAAACATAGTACACGGCTTAACGTACCATGGATTCATGAAATTCTGGAGCGAGGTAAGAAAAGTTATCTGCATTACTTTGCCGTGCCTGACTTTTTGTTGTAAATTAAGTGCGATGGAAACAGCGAAGCAGCAGTCTATTTTTCGAGATATTTCAGTCATTGTGGCAACTAAATGTTAAGTAACAGTGCTCCTATGGCGGTAACTTACTTTTTATCTAACGATAAGTAGGTGATAATAGAAAAACTGACTCAGTTTCCCTCGACTTCGACCTAAGAAGATTCCATTTTCATCTGAGTCATATTGACGAATTCCTCTTTGTTTTTTTTTGGAACGATACAAAGGAACTTTTTTTTTTTAAATGTATTTCATTCGTACCAGTCCGCGTCTTCACTGATTAACACCACAGATTATTTGTTATAAATTCAGTTAACTATTCCAGGTAATTGGAGTGCGCTATCTGGTCCGGCTATCAGCAGGTGATTGGCTAAGTTATGTCCTTATCAGCGTTGTTTTCCGGGGACGGATGTTTAGTATGTTTCCATTACGTAATGGTTTTAATCGATTGGTCCTATGGGCCATTGAAAGAGCGTCACTTCGAGCAATGACAATATACAAGGATCTCTGTGTACGGGACAATAAAGGTGGCGTCGAAGTCTCAGCGTGTCCTTTCGCGAAGTTTCATGACTATTTATAACTATACCATCGTGTAACATCGAGCACCCATTATCGTAAGCTATATTAGCTTGATTGTAGAACAGTAAAATATTATGAGATATTTACGAAGTAGTATGTGCGTTCTGTGAACATTGACGGACATACCATTGATTCGAATGGCTTCACGAAAAGGCCAGTTTCGTTGGCAAACCGCATCGTTGGTGACACGGTATTTCCGAAAATACTCGTCTTGTTGGTTAAAAATAAAATTCACATGTTATTTACGTAATTTAGGAGAACTTCTACTCGTTATTTTCTATATTTTAGAGTATTGAATTTTAGTTTGTGTCCTTGAAGATCTTTTGAACTTAGTTTAATAAGTATAAAATAAGTTATAACTTGCCCAATGAATTTTTGGTAATGACGACGACGATGATGATAAAAACGACCCAAGCTAATTGTTGATCTAACGAAGCGTCTTTCAGATCATAATTGAAGTTGCTTATAAGTAACATCAGTTTCAGTTGAAGTACAACGCTGTCCAAAAAAGTAGGAAACTGAGATTGTGGCCGATCTACGAATATCAGAGCCATGAAACACATCTAGAGAAAGCTATCAAATATATCGCAATAAGCTAGGTTTAATGAAACTCGTAATAGAAGTTGATTTGACAAGTTAGCATAATTCGATAGAATGGCTAAAAACTCTATAGCTTAACAGTGGCTAAAATAAAGAGGTGCTGCGAGACTATAGCTCCCTAGCTAATCGAATGTTCTTCACACTTATTTCGCTGGAACCCTATCAGTTGGCCTTATGCTTAACAGACCGAAAAGAAGCTTGATGACTGGTCAACCATTGTAAAGCGTCAAGATTGCTACGGAAGTGTTTGTCGCAATTTACTTACTACATGTAAGACAAAAATCAACCTTTTAGTAACGATCTTTATTAAAGAGGTTCACGGGAATCTTTACAGGTTTAGATTTACCCTGACAGTGCTTGAATACCTGCGTGAAACACTGTTTCAAGGCGAACCATGAACACAAAATTTGATGTAGTATCGCACGGCCCGTAATAGCTTAGCGGGTAACGTATTTGCTTGCTAAAGCGAAGGACGGTTGTGACTTAGGTTCGAATCTTCGAATAGACACAATTCGTGTCGTACTGGGAGCCAGCCGTCTCATGGCAATGCGTAACAGCGGTGTCGGGCGTACGTAGAACTTAAAACGTACGAAGTGGGGAATCTATGCCTCTTAATAATTCTCCTTTTAAGTTGCTGATAAAGCTGAAACGGCCTTCAAAGAAATTTTACACATACGCTAAAAGTGTAATTCCCGATGGTCATGTACATCCAACATAACCATCATTTACCGATATTAAGTTCTCAATTTAGAACTTACATTACTCACGAATTTATCAAAATAATCTTTAGTTCACAGATGTATTTTAATAGAAACCGTGCGTTAGGCGATATTGGTAGATGTAAAGTCATTGAAGTCGCGTAAATACGTCATATTACGTATAAAATGGAATCAAATTTTGGACTGATAGGAAGCTTAAGGTCTTCAGGATACGAAGCCCCGAAAGCATAAGAGGTGTAAAAAGGAGCAGCGACTCTGAAAAAAAGCTAACTATTGGAGTCTATCTAGACGAACCAATTGGTAATTGATATTTTACGTACTCGTGACGAAGAACTATTATTTAAAAAAAGAAAAAAAAAGGAATTAGTTTATTAAAAAGCACTGTTTAGCCGCTTCCAATGAATTTTCGAGCTTTTTGAAAACCCAAATTTTATTAAGGATCTTCCGCTTTGGAAGATTTTTCGTCGTCGAATCTTTTAGAAGCCCCGCGAAAATTGACAATAGCGTACACCATCGATTTCAGCTAAAATGGCAAATTTATAATCCTAGTGGGGATTCGTTCCACGGGAACACATTAGATAATGGCTAATATTTGCTCGAATTCTGGAAACAGAGCGCCACTTTTCATCGTGACGAGTTTTCTATTTTATTATAGAAAAAGCCGTTTTTCTTTGGTATGAAGAATAGCGGATGATGACGATCACCCTGCCTTTCGAATACCTTACTACACGTATACCCTTATAAAAGGGCTTTCTTACCGACAGAATGGGGGGAAACAATACAGCTGAATCACCGATCCTAAAAGGCTGCCCAGAGCCGTGTCTCAAATGTCTCCATTCATTTGGTAGCTTATATGGAGTAGTAACCGACTATGTTGAAGGTTGGCTTTATTTTGATCCGTTAAGTAGCCGAAGCCTTTCATAATAATCCACTGAAGTACGTAATAAAGATTGAAAGTATTAGTAAGTGAAACGAAGTGGACAGTTTCCATGGTTTTATTTAGAGAGGGTTAAATGGTCGACACACGGCGAACGGTACAATACACTCGTAAAGTACTTGAGCATAACATAAATACACAGCTGTATTTTCAGAAACAAAGTGGTCTTTGCAAAAAAAAAAAAAAAAAAAAAGATGTTGAATTGCAGATTGTCAAGGAGAAACATTTTGCAGCCCACGCTGAATCTACGAAATCTACGCTTTAATAGACAAAGCTTTTATAGAGACAAAAAAAACGAAGGCAAGTGCTTACGAAGTGGTTAAGTTTATTACCTCATACCTTCTAGAAATAATTAAAGCAGAGTTTTCATCATATATCAATCATATAACGATTTATCTAGTAGTCAGACATAATGTACCATTGTGTAGGTAGCGATGCGTTTACGATGTAAATCTCTGGAACACTAGAAGCTGCATGATAAAACTGGGTTTTTTTGTAGTTAACGGTTAAAATTAAGCAATCATTAACTGACTAGAAAATACGTAACCATTGATAAATGAAGCGCAGGCATATTTTCAAACCTGTCATTATCCGGATAAATTTTTAGGTGGTATAATATCGCAGCATCGATTATTAACGAAAACTTCAAACTTCGAACATTGTGAAGTGCACCGAAACCTTAATATTTCAGCCGATCTGACCTGCTCCCTGTAGATGTTCTACATGAATAGCTTAGTGCGATAAAAAAACTACTGCTGCAAATAATAATAGTAAACACTATGTATCAATAAACAAAGCACTCATAACAGTGAGATTCAATACGAGGGTCCCACAAAAACAAGTTGGTTTTCTGTACTCTATGTTACACAATAATGCAATCATCATAACATACTGCCAACGCTAACATTTGTAAACAGGTCCTACTTTTTTTTCCATATTACGAAAAGGTATTCACTGTTGAAGGTTCAGTGCGGAGAAATATCAATGAATGAATGAATAAAATGTCACATGACGACGTAAAATTTCGAAATTCTACAGAACCGTATAGATAGAAAATACAAAAAGTTCCGGCAATATTGCAACTCCATTAGCAGCGATGCGGTGTACAATAAAGCTAAAAGAAATTTTTTTGCGCGTCTACGAAGAAGCGACTACGAAACATCCTTCCTATCCGAACTATCCGCCGATGTGATGATTTCTTCTATCCAACCGAGATAATAGCTCACTCTCGTGTACAGACCCGGCAGAAGCGGCCGAGCACATCCAAAGCCGGCCGAAACGACGCCAACGAGTCTGAAAGGGAACCACAGAGCGGTGGGATGTTAAACAGATAGAAAAAGTTTAGCCGTTGAACGACGTCAGCGAGACGCCGCGTTTGCATCAGGCATAACTAGGAAAAAATCGTACGTGTTGGGTGATCGACGTTCAGATAGCGTGCCTAGGTTTACTGATCGGGTTCTGCTTAATAAGTTTTGGATGGTGATGGCTTTGCTAAGAGCTAGGTAGATGTTTAATGTAATGCCTAACGTTGCGAATAATTCTCATAACTGCAAGTTTTCATAACTGTTTGCCAAAAATTAGAATATAGGTTACCTTCCGTCAAACGGTTGGAAAGATCTTTCCTTATCCGACAGAGAACGACTTTAGGCGCTGTGACGTATTTTTTCTTAAGCACAGAATATTGACGTCAACCAAAATCAGTTAGCTGGCTGATTTATTGTTCTGAAAGCGAGAACCGTTCTCTCTATAATGCATTAGGATCGTACGGTACATCGCTAGAATAGAGAAATGAAACTTCGCTTTTAGCTAAACGTATTCGCTGCTCAGACCATCTACAGGTCGAAAATAGAAATACACGCTTTTTTCCAGTGAGATCTCTTAAGCTACTTAGCGGGTTAAGCAAGAACTGCTGAATAAGAACTGAGTGAGCGATACGCCCTTTGATCAAGTGTCGTAGTTTCTGCGATGAGAGTAATTATGTTCATTTTTAGGCACATACCCGAATCAGCGAACCTGGCCTATTTTGAAGAATATGTACTTCTAAAAAGTCTATGTAAGGTACATAAACGGTTAGCAAATTTCTATTATTTTTTCCATTTGGATTTTGCATTCGAATCACGCTCTAATTGTATTTCGGATCTTTCTCGATGATTAAGGTTTGGATAGGAAGCCCTACCTGGCGTATAATGAAAGCCAGAGCGTTTGATACATTCCTGCTAATTACACGTTTGGTATTTACGGGACTGTTTACGGCGACGTCGTTATGGCGTACTGGCAATGGGTTCATCTATGAATTAGAAGTACACAGGAATGGCATGGGCTCGAATATAATCGTAGAGATACTTTAACAGTATTTAAAAAGGCGATGGATAATCGTTAACCTGCTCACTGCCTGACGATTGTTTTCACTGGCCTCTCTACCTTGTTAGGTTCTTGAATCCATGCGTGAATACGCAGAACAGAAATGTGTTCCCTAATATTGCAACGTTCCAAATACTCATAACGCTAGGAAAGTCTATGAAGATCACGCACGAGGAAGAAAGTGTTAGCAAACTACTGTTAATCGAACTTCTGCATTTTAAATATCGTTTTGGAAAAGAAATCGGTATCGATGGCGCTCCATTAACGATACGATTACTACGAGACACTGGTTATTAGATTAAATAACTCATGCCCCAGTTAAACAATATGATTTCGGATTTAAACTAAAAAAAAAAAAAAAAAAAACACTCAATACGGGGCTAAATTTCACTAGAATACTTCATTACAATAAGATAGATGTTGTCCAAATCGATATACAGGTATTACATTAAACGTCATTGTGAGCGCAGCAGATGGCCCATGACAAGAGATGGACACGTTACAGAATTTCGAATTCGAAGGGAAGCGACGAAACAATTTACCCAGATTGTAAATGAGCCTATCTTAGAAAGCCTTTTCTGAGTTAATGTTTCAATCAGTGCATCAAAAGTAGGATCGTTGTAACAATGGTGGCCAGGAATTGAGCTAGATTAATGTATGCAAAGCCAGCGGTCCAGGTGGCGATATCTAAAAAGCCTATCGTATTCTAGTATACCAAGTTATAATCCAGGGGGTTAGCCAGGATTACCTATTCGTTATGACATGTCTTCAGAAGGAGATTCGTAAACGCAGAATCCCATTAGCCAACAAGCTAATTATGTATCCTTCGACTTCGCTCGGTCAAGCTTTGTACTTGATCTTTTTATGATCGATATCTCAGCATTATGTATATACGGATGTTTCTGCAGATGCTGGTTTTCGATAAGATGAACTGCTGACAACGATTTAGAGGCTTTGCGCACTTCATTGAATGCCGATCCAATTTTTAGAGAAAAATATATTTCCTGATATTCAAAAAAGTATTTTTAATTTTGATCTTTCTTCTGCATAGACAAAAAAATACATTGGCACACACAGCAGTCACCACTAAAGACAACAACTCGCTCACTTGAACCAGCGAACAATTCGCGATTGATTGGCAGACGCCAAAATTGTCATGGATCGGATATGGTTTTCGCTGCTAAATACAAAGCAAAGCTCTGTATTTTGTAGGAAGACAAGGTTTTGAGGAAGTGACTGGTGCAATATCCACTTGGAATCTCACTTGAATCGACTGTCCGTCTGTACCATCAGTGGTCCACCTGAATCGCCTTGACACGCGTCTAGGTTTCCGTCGGCGTAGCCAGCACAGATCTGTGACGAGATCAGACGTATCTGAAAGATCGAAACATTTTAGGTATTAGATCAACAATGACTAGCACAATAAATAATCTTGTTGTTTGATCGACGAAGTTATGTTATTGTTGCCACGAATTATTCTGGGATTTCGTTGGCAGAAACTGTAAGAGGCTATGACGCCCATTGGAGGTTTTTGGTCGTTGGCCTGCCCTCGGGCGCCCGGAGTGCCTCATAACTCTTGACTCTAGAATCTCTTTACTCGCCACTCCTACCAGGTAAGCCTTGAGGTGCATGCGCTCGACTTCGTGGCCGTGCAACCTTTGTGTTTTTTCGGCTGTTGAGGGCAAAACAGTGCGAGGTAAGTTAGGCTATAACTTCTGCCGTCTTTTGCCATATAGGCGAGTTTCAGTTTCGTGCTTGGACTTCTAAAGCGACTACTTCCGTGAGTATTATAAGCGTTATGTGTTCTATATAAATGTATTTCCAAATACCCGTTCTATTCCGAGCGAATATGATGTCGTCTTTTGTCTAGCCGTCAAGCGCACAACGGCGATTTAATTTTTATCTATCAAATAATGAACACCACCTTATCTGAAAGCTACGGATATGTTTCTCCAATTATTGAGATTTCTTATTCGAACTGAATATGCCGCCATGTGTTACAACCCAACAATGAGGCGGTCTCAAGCATTTTTGCTACTAAATGAAATACATTTTTGCTAAGAAGCAGATAGAAAATCAAGTTAAAGTGTAGCTTATTTGTCCGGATCAGAACCGTACCGATGATAGGGACGGCTGTCAAGCAGGCTAACTCATATGGCGTTCCCTGAGCATGTCGTGCAGAGCTCAATCATTGTAAGACTCGTATTTTTTATCCGTCTAGAACAGAACTTTTAACCTCGGTAGTCTACTATTGGACACCACGACACCATGCTTATTTCGTTGTATGGAGCCAGGACTTCGAGTCAAATGATCTTTTAACAGAAATAATGCTTTTTTCTCTTTGGTCTACCTACTCAACGGCCAATTAATGAGCATCGACACCTCTTGCTGAGTCTACGTAAGTCATTAAATCGTATGAAGTCTTTTGTTTTTTTATCGTAAAGTGTACAAACACCTAAAAAATATGAACGAATTCGTAATTACGAAATTCCTAGCGGAAATATAGCTCGTAAACAATGCCATCCATTCAACGATGCGGTGAAGTTTTTCTCAAAATTGCCAAGCGTATATTTTTGAATAGGAAGAAGAATAAACTTAAATTAAAATAACGTTATCCTTAAACTTAACTTCCAGAGAGCAAATTTACTTCCGCTTGCTGTTTTTCGGGACAACGATCAATTTTTTTTTTTTTAGATACTCGTAGAAAGATGGTTAGGTTCATTGTTGACAGGCATGGACAAAAACTGCTGCGTAATTTTCTCGATATGATTCCCTTTACAAAACAAAACATCGGATCGGTAAGAAAAGGAAAAAAGATCTCAAACGTCAGACGTAAGACATTACCACGAGGACGTCTCTGAGGAATAATATGAGCTCTATGTTGTACATAAGGAGTACTTCATTAGACCTATAGAAAGCTGAGAGTCATCAGGGCCATGCCAGTGTCCTTACGTGGGCACGAATCAGCTATTACACTTGCAATGATGATAGCGTGAGCAATGCTATATTAAAATAGTATTTTTAGAAGTATTTCTTTAGTTCTAGCAGCCTGATTAATTGAGTAACTTATTTTAAGTTGGTAAGTTTTAACTTGTTGTTCGGTTAATCGGAGCAATAGATGCTGTTACTGCTTGTGTTAATGCTAACTAGTACTGTTATACGTGCAATCTGTAGGGTTCGATTTTGCTGGAAATCCACTGGCTCTCATCTCAATATTATTTCATTACGAAGACGATTTGCTCGTATTCGTTTGTTATGGACATGGGAAAATCTAAACGTAACTACAATTGGGAACGCATTACAGAAATAGGCCTGACCTTTTTGCCGGCCTGCTTATACCACAGGTTGCAAATGCTGTTGTTGACTAGAGGAAGATCAACTTTTTGCAGAATGTTAGGCCGAAGCTTGTTAAAGATGTCTTGTCCTGTGATGGTCTCTGAAACGATAATATTTCCGTGTCTTCAAGATCTGGTTTGCTGCCCTTAATTACTGTGCATCATAGCCTTGGTAGGATCCAAGACGAGTAAAGCTTCTACCGTGAACCGATTAACGCTAATCTATCATCCATATAAATGTTTACTACCGCTTGTTCAGGAAACGTCGTCAGGTTATAAAGAGCTGAATTGCAAAACAGACACCATAGTCAGCAATTACTATTATTATTATTATTATCATTATGCTTAAACATACAAAAAATATTAGAGAAAATCATTACATTATTGTGTCCCATAAATGTGCGACAATAAGTAAAACGGCATCGAAGCATTGATAATTGCAGTTAATACGAATAGCGAGAATAAATTTTGCCTTTAATATTTTTTTAGCGGCATTTTTTTTATTGTTAGCGTTTTCAACAATTGGTGCTCTAGATTAACAAAGTACTTATTTCGAAACTGCTCAAGTTCTATGCGGTAATTAATGCAGAAGTTTAGATTATAGCGTTCAAGTTAACAGCCTACAGTTTAGGGTCTATGGTGATTTTTGTCAAATTAAACATCGACTAATAAGAAATCAAATGATTATTATTACGCTTAACTCTGTTCTCAAATAGTGTACTTGATATCAAGCACCTTATACTTGAGCAGTACTGTTTATTACGCCAGCGTTATTAGACGGGAAGTACTACGCTTGAGCTGCTTATTGGCGCTATTGATCTCCTTCATAAACGCTATAAATACAGAATGGAACAAAAGTCTCTTGACTGCTTTGAAAAAATTCATCGCACAGATGTATATGTAGAGATGTAAAATAAAGACGGTCCCAAACGGTCAACAGACTTTTACCCCGATCTATATAAGACATTATGTTATTCGTATATTTGACGTATTACCAATATCTTTGAGGTTGCCCCATCCAGCAACAGATGCATTCCGACCCAGCCGTTCGTCCTGAGGGTCGTTGGGCAAACAAATGGGCTGGACCTGGTCACTAAAGGTGATGTTATTATTTAACCTCACAAGCGCGATATCGTTATTGTACCGTTTGGGATGTGAATAGTTTGGATGGACGTAGATCCTGTTAACCTATGAAGGGAGGTTAAGTTACGAATATTTTAGAAACATCTAAAAAAATTGTCGCATAATGTAGCGTGGTGTCTGGACATACTTCGAGGGAACTAATTATCCAAGTTAATATGGCTTTATTAAGTTGCAAAATTACTGTTTTAGTCCGCTGTTACTGTTCAAAATAACTGAAGAACTCAGTTGATTTGTTTCATTTAACTTTTTTAAGACGGCCATTTTGCGATAAATCTAACCTAGTTCTATGGGAGCGTGTAGAAACAGAAACGCATTCGATTCGATTCGATCAATTTGAATTTCTACAGGCCAGCATTCTGAGAACATGTTTTCCTATTATCTATATTGACAGCATGGGCATACATGCGTACCTTGTATTCTTCTTCAACAAGAGACGTCTCAGCCATGTTATACTCACCGACCCTCGCTGTAAAAAGGCGTGGGTTTCGGCCCTGAAAAACGAGGGCCATGTAAGTTAATAACGTGAAGTTAATAGAAAAACAAATGTCAGGTAATATGCACAGACAGAGTCGTATGTTATTAATTGAGGCTTCACTCAAGATGCTAAAAAGGCCTCACGATCAATAGAATGAGTATAACCGATATGACAAACGAACGGATATAGCGGACCAATAACAGTGACCAGTTTCAACCATATTTGTAGGAAAGGAACGTAAACATAGGTATGCTGTATGGCAGTTATCTATATACTGAGTGTAAACAATCGTCTAATATATTTGATTATTTTTCATGGCATAAAAAGATGAAGAAAGAAGACATTTTTTTAGGTATTCTATGTATACTACCGATTGAAAATAGCCGTCCAGAAATTTGCTTGGTTTTCTAGAATTTTTCTTTACTATCGATACGTTTGGAACTCTTTATCATCGTAGAAGCACATTAGGCCTTTTGACCTAGGATATCGCTGATTTGTACGGTTTGTTTCGAATCTGCGTCCAACCTACAGCGTTTAGAACCTGAGCGATAAAGGTTACCTTCATATAAACTAATAGATCGAACCGGTCTGAATTCGTAGGCTTTAAAGAAGTTTCATTCGGAAACTGTATTGTGCCAAATAGATAAATTTATGTCGACAAGCGTTAGATCTTAACGAGTTTTCTACGCACGAACACGGATCTGAAAAGGTAAGATTTCCTTCAAAACGTAGAGTGCTGACTGGAAAAGATGGAACGAAATAGAAGACAGCTTAATGCAATGAAATCAAACGGTCACCTGCCTGGTAGCGTTGTTTACGACGCTTCATAACGATCTAGTAGCGGGATGGGTAGTTGCTAACCTTGGCAAAGTTGGCCAGCCGGTGATATGGGGTGTGTTTTTGCGACAGCTAATTACCACCCCTTTTCATAATACACAGGTCTTATCCTGGTCTTTATATATAGACAACCAATATCAATATATGAAACTATATGGATATGGCATGATGTAGAACTAATGGGAAACTGTTTGAACGGCGTCAATCGATGTGATTCGTACGGACGTGGTCTATGAAACTAGAAATAGTAATATATAGAGAAACCTGTTAATAAAGCTAACACCACAGAAACGAATCGAGTTATAGCGACTTAGCTCTAAAGGATGATGTATACACAATGTACGATGAACTAGTTAGGCCTTGTAAGATGTCTTTATGAGATGGCCTGATGGCAACTGGAGAAAGGTTTTTTTTTTTTATTAATCTTATATTATTTTCATATAAGCGTTACGTCCGCCGCTGTCGTCTAGCATTGCTTCAAGTAGTGGCCTAGCGCGGAACGGAATGTGCCTACACTTAGGGTGTTTGTGCCATCTGGCCTGGAAACTAGTAACTTCTTAGAGAGTTAAAAAAATTTCAAAGGGCCTTTTAGAAGTTCGAAGGCTCGTGACCGTGATTGTAACATAGAAACAAAGTAGCAGTTCATTTTTAAAATAATCCTCGATTTCAATCGGCCTTATCGCAGTTCGATAATCATTAAAGATAAGAATGATCACTAAAGGCAAACATGTGAAAGGTAGTGTGAAATTTCTAAACCCTTTGTAATGAATAACCTCGTCCATAAACGAAGAAAAGCCAGTCCAGCCTAGTTGTGGCAAGGGTAGTATCCTAAGCACATTTCAAGTGACAAATTCCGCAAACCTACTCTGTCTTTCTATTCTAGAATTCATATACATATATATATATATATTGTAAAATGATTGTACTTAGTAATAGATAAGCAATCCACAAATGACTTAATCCGTTTAGATAACCGTACCTGCACACAATGAGCTGCCGTGATGACGAATTTGGGATGCACTATAGTTGCTCCACAGAAATGATCTCCTCGAACTCGAAGAGAAACCATCCAGGGAAATTCTCCTGGTTGGGCGTCGGCCCCGCCTACGACGCGGGCCTCGCGATCTGAGGGCACTGTTGTCCTGCCACATGAGGCTCGAACTCGCGCGAGAGATGATAGGAAAACAATAACGAAAGGTACGAATCTCAAGTCGACGAGCAGCGAAGTAGCACATCGTAGATGATGGCGTAGTTCACAGTGCCTTTGAAAGGTCATTACGACTCAAGTACCGCTGCCAGACACCTGGCGTCAACGTTTATCCGCACAATATCGCGCATCGATTGAAAATCAAACATTTAGTAATATTTTTTTTTATCAAATTGGCGTAGTATGCGGTGCGTCAACGTTGAGCTGAACCAGTAGCCCGCATCTCATCTTTCCGAGGGTTTGTTGCTTCCCATCCTGCACAAGCAGCAGTAGTGATGGTTATAAGAGTTATCGGTAAGAGACAAAGAATAATCGGACAAAAAATCCCTTAGTATATAGAGCTACGACCACTTTAGCCCGTCGCCTACCGAGACAAGGTCGAAGTTGTACTGACACACGATAGCTAAGTACTCAACAATCACGTCGACACGCAATGAGATCTGACACTATTGGACAAGCACAGACATGGACGACACGCTACAGATAAGCGTACGGCAGTGACAACGGAGCGCTTAATTCACGCGCGACATCCACGTCTTATGTCAATGATTTCCGCCATCGTTCACGTCGTCTTTACTGCTGGCCCGCGCGACCGCTCGGCGGCAGTGGCTCCTACGCCACTCCGGCTCTGTCCGTGAGCACCGGAGCTCCCCATTCAGCCACACCGCGGCTCGTGCTGCTAGCCTCCTCTCCCAAGTTGGGTGGCGGCCTTGACAAACACCGCGACGTATGCAAATAGATAAGACAGGTCGGTCGCCGTCAGAGTAGAACTCATCGTAGTAGTTCTCGTTGTGCATACTGATATCTATCAGTGGAATAGAAATGGAAAATCGTTATTGTTCCCAACCAGATTTTGCCAATGGTATGGCAATGTCTCACGGTTACACATCGGCGCTAGTAGTTAACAAAACTTGCACACCGTTTAAGCAGCAATTCATATCTGGTGTCTCCGACTGCATCATCGTTCAGACTGAGGCGCTGTGGCGGACTTAGCAGAGGTCGTTCGGCGACCCCCTACAACTGCATGCGACGTAATAAATCAGATGTGGGGCAATGTTAGCCGCAATCTCATGAAGGCTGATGAAACCGCCATAGGATTATAGGATGCTTGTTCGCGCCTGTAATGCGCAGTCTATGCCTGTAAGTTACATATTGGGCTTTTACTCATGCAGCGCCTAGACAGAGATAAGTCGAAACTGTTGCTGGCTATAATCGTCGCGCTTGTAACCGTAATAGTCTACAAGGCGAAGTGTTTAGTTAGCGATGATTATGGTACTAGATTGGCATCAAGGTGGCCTTCGGTGTGGATATTGCTTGGCCGGATCGATCAGTGCTTGTCGATAGGAGCCGTGATGAGGCAATCTGGTGGCGCCCCGTCGTCGACCGGGCAGCCGGAAGCGTCAACGGAGCTCCGCGCTATGTGAAAAATATACGTTATGTAATAAGCTGACGACGTTGTTGAAAATTCATCACATCCGCCGCCACTGCAGCAATCATCATTATTTTGTGTTGTTACTGCCGATCTAAACAGTCTATCAGGGAGATATTGCCGACGTAGGGTCAGATGAACCACTATCTTTTCTCTGGCTCGAACTTGGCCATATGGTATATAACACAACTTGCTTCACACAGGCTCACGCGCATCAACGATAGCATAAGATTGGCTAATTGGTGATAGTCGCAAAATACAGGGTGAGACGAAGGTCTTAGAACAGTTCCGAAAAAAAAAAAAAAAAAAAAAAAAAAGTCTGCCACCACCTAAGCAATCTTGATTCGGTGTCTTTCAAGAGACTTGTTTCGCCAGCTGTCAGGAAAGGTTGCTTGGAAAATATCCAGAGACTTTTTACCTCACCCTGTATACAACTGTAAACATATAGAAGGCATTTTAATTAATTCGCGTTGGTAAACACTAGGCTTCGTGGTGCCCTGTAACGAGCAGAGCAAGTCGTGCATTGGTACTTACTGATTCCATAGGTGAGACAATAAACGTTCAAGTTGAATTGGCTAGTCGTTATGGTAGCGGCAGCGGCTCCCCTAATCTCTAGAACGAATGGTGACATTATGTAAATGTAACGTTACGAAAGCAGTTTGCGCCGTACGTTCCTGAAGGAGACTTTTTGTTCGACATGTTTTTGTTGTGCATAGAATTGAAGAGGTTAAAGCTAACGTCACAGTAGTAGTAGTAGTAGCAGTAACAAAAAAAGCCGCTGGTCGAATGTTCTGCATCGTTGAGGTTACATTTTGTGCAGGAAATCCAGCTAGTGTTAAAACGATTCGCGTATTCGCCCCTCTCAGCAATGCCTTCGACGTGAAAGGGAATGAACTCTTTTTTTGCTGATTTATATCGAATCTGCCTTCCGAGACGACTACATCTGCGGGAGAGCGAATCCTTTTTGTTTTTCTTTTTATTGAAAAGGTGTGATTTACTCTGATAAGAGCACCGAGTACGGCAGGTAGCAAGGTTGACAAAATAAAGTCGATCAATTAGTTCATCACTGCTTGCGGTTGAACAAGGCCTGGCGAGTGAGGTAGAAACTGTAGTACAGCCGTGTCATGATTATCCTTCATTTCGTAGGTTCTCTGCCTAGGCGAATAGTGCGTGAGGATTTGTTGTGCCTCTTTCGAAGTCTGTACTTATAGTTTTGAAACTTCTCCGAGTTTTTTGGACCACTCAGACTATAGACGCCCTTATAGGTGATCGAAAATCCGGTACTTTTGGTAAGCATGATTTCAAACACCTGGCTTCTTACCTGCGCCTAATTTTTAACCTAAACGCCACCTACTAAATGTTCTTAAGTTCAACAGGTAAACACGTTACCACTGCGCCATCACAAAGATAAACCGATATGGCCTAAAGATTTGACTATTTTTTTTGGGGCGTGTAAGACGATTTGCCCTTTGTAACATATCTTTCGGAACTGATTCAGATTCAAAAGCCGTAATCAGCCACGTGTGTTTAGCTGTGATTCAAACTTAATCTAAAACAATCATCTTTACTTAATTTTAAGTTTATGGAACAGTACTCGTGTTCAGCGTGTTAGGCTTTTATGTTCCCATTGTTATATATTATGCAATAGCAAAATTGACGGCTGAAGTGTTCATTGAAATTGCAACGCAGCCGATTAACGTTCCTAGGCGTAATAACAACTTTGAATTTGATTTTCCATTGTCGTTACGGTGGCCCTTGAAAAACCTGACCTTGCATCTTAACTTACTTCCAGCCGTCCTATTGACGCGCCGCTATTTTGAATAGATACGTTTTTTTTTTTGCAGAAAAAATATGTTATAACAGTCTGATAAATAATAATAAGACATCAATCATAAAATTAAAGCTTAGATGAATAGGATTTTGAATTAGATTTGGGAAATATCCTTTGCAAATTTGTGTTATTATTGTGTTTACCTTAATATTACAGTTATCGACTAGATAATGGGCTTATAATCTATACAGAGATATGCAAAATTGTTTACCGTTGAAAAACGTACCGAATATTTGAACTGAAAACTATGATCAGGATTAGGTTTTCTTTGATTGTACAATATTCGTTATCTTGCATGGATAAGAGCATGGGAACGATACCGATTTTTTCATTGTTAAACCCTTAACATCGGATATTTTTGCTATCTGGCTGCATTTCCCTTGGAGGTCAAACCCCAGTCACGCCGGTACGTTAGACATGCAAGCACCCTTCAAAAACGGTTAACTTTTTAAAGACGTTAAATAACGTTTATGACACCATATATATATATATATATATATATATATATATATATATATGATTTAGATTCTTCTGGTAAAAAAAAAAGTAAAAGTAAAAATTTCTTCTGGATTATTGTGGGTAGATAGTAAAAGATTGAATAACACTTAAAATAACAGTAGAGCGTGTGAGTTAGACGCGTTTCCTAATTGTTCTGGTGGTGCCTATATGATTTGTATATTACATTATGTCTGTATGTGCGCAACTGTTGTACAATTATATATGTACATGCAATTACCGCTATAACACATACAAGTTCGTCGCTTGAAACAGAGCCACCGCCTGTTCATGTGCATGTATACATGGCGGCTTCCTAATAACAATTCGATAATAATTATAATAAAAATAGGAAGAAAAATTATTAAAACAGTGTTAGTATTTTGTGGATTATTTCGGTGCTAGTGTAGCTATTTCACACGTTAGTCTAAGGTCAATTGTTGAAAGGACCGTTGGGTAAATGGAGCACAAGAAGCGACCGTTATTATAGAAGTGGATAGCTCAATCCCGCTATAACAATTCTCAGAAATTTCTCCTTAAGTCGAAACGCACAAGTTGATCGTCCGTCTAATTTTCAACGCACTTTATCCATGGGATAGCCTCTGTTTTAGGAACGGCCCAGCTGTTTCCACCCAGCACGAGCTAAAAAAAATATTTTTCCTCCAATGCTCACTCCGTTAGACATTACCTCAGAAGTCTAATTCTCAGCACGAAACGAAGTTTATCTTAGGAACCTAGGATGCTATGTAACCCTAAATCGAGTAGGTAAACCCGTTATTCACTGCGCTTTGACGGACGACTTGGTCATCAATTTTCGACAAAAGAGGCGCAGCAATCTTCCAGGATAGCTTGACATTGTTAAAAGGCTTGTATCAGATGCAAAAAAAAAGCGACAACATACACATTTTTTTCGTATAAATTGTTAATTTTTAAACACTAGTTGTTATGTGTGTGAATACATACGGAACAAAGGAGCATTTTTCTTTACGCTAAATACTCTCATTTGTATACAAATTATCGGATGATACGCTATAAAGTCGGTTTAGCTTGGTGGCTCCGTTTTGGCTGCGGACATAGCACGGCATCAATAAACAAAGGACGTTATATACTAGATTTGCCTCAGGCAATGTCGAAGTCACCAGGCATAATATATCATATTTATGTATCCCATAAGAAAAAAAAATTAAAAGAAATTTTGTTAACATATGGTGTTTGCTTCAAACCATATCCACGTAGCACAACCGGACAGCGGTACCCTCCGGAAACTGGTTATTAAATGACCCATCTCATATTGCAGCAACGGGTCATCCCAATTCGCGAATGATTTCTAATCATACGTGTTATGCAAAGCGCAAAAACCATGTGGTAGTTGATTTTTCTAGATGACCTATCCGTACGTAGAAGAATAGCTAAGAGCAAGCTGGTACTAACACAAAAAAGAGACACAGAAATTCTTCTCCATTTTATCTCTATATTGGAATCGTTTTATTCATTCTATACTGCTAATTATATTGTTGTTGCTAAGATTATTGTTGTAAATACCTCTTAAAGTATGTTACCGTGGCGACTAGTACGTTTCTGCAGAAAGTAATAACAATCTCAGAGCTGTTAAATAACTGTAATTTGCTTTTCTATGTTTTTAAGGTTCTCAATATTTTTGCTCAAACGACGTCAAATCATATAAATGTCTCCTTTCAAGATGTTCTTCATTCGCTCTATCCAGTATCTTTCCTCAGTGCCTCACTTGCAACTTCATCATCATCATATCGTTACACCTTTCCGAGCTAAATTTAAAAGTACGCCAGGAAAATGACTTCTACTGCTAATATTAGACTCTTACCATGAAAAAAAAAAAAAAAACACATTTTAGAGTGTTTCACACATTATGCGA